GTATTTAATCACTTAGCCATATCCCTAGACCTTTTTATTTTTTATTTTGAGACAGGGTGTGTCTCTAAGTTGCTTAGGGCCTTGCTTAGTTGCTAAGGCTGGCCTTAAACTTGTTGTGATCCTCCTGAGCTGAAGAGATTATAGGTGTGCACAACCATACCTGGCAAATTCTTTTTTTCTCATTTCAAAAAAATAACATGTTAACTGTAGGTGATTTAAAAGTTCAGAAAAATATCAGAAATTATTCACAAACCTATTAAAAGCATCCATCATTAATATTTTATTTCAGTATGTAAAAGCTTTTTCATATTTGAGGCCTACTGTATATGGACTATGCTTTTTGCTTAACCCATGAATGTTTTTCTGTGTTAAGAGAGTTTAAATATTCACTTTTAATATCTTTGTAGCATATTGCCATGATTGTTAGTATGGCTTCTTTATCCATTTCTTTGATGTTAGGGATTCAGAATGGAGTAGCTGATGTTTCCAGTTCTTTCTTTTTAGATAAGTGTGTATTGAATTCGTATGTAACAATGTAATTTCTTACTTCTGGTAATGGATCAACCTCCAGTGATGACTATGACTCCAAGAAACGCAAACAGCGGGCTGGTGGAGAGCCTTGGGGTGCTAAGAAACCAAGGCATGACCTGCCTCCTTACCGGGTTCATCTTACTCCCTATACTGTGGACAGGTGAGTGGCAAGGCTTGGGGGTGGGCTGAGACTTGTCACAGGTAACACTTTCTAGGGTAAATGAGATACGGCCCCTGCAAGCACGTGAGTGCTTTTACAGCTTTTTAAAAAACAAATCAGTGTAAACCTATTGTATGTACTGTTTGATACTTTGCTTTTTCATTTGATATTTTGTCTTAGAATTTATTCTATATTAATATTAGATTATTCTCATTCTTTTTAGCAGTATATATAGCATCCCATTAAATGGATGTATTTAACTAGTACTACATATGTAGCCTAGTTTTCTTAAGTATTATAAACATCCTTCTGCATACATATAGGTGCACAGTGTAAGTGTCCTATTAATTCCTCAGAATAGAGTAGCTGGCTTAAAGGGTTTAATTTCAACCTTTGATAGCTATTGCCAGTTCTCTCAAAGAGACTGTCTATTTACCCTCTTCAACAGACCATGAAGGACTTGTTTCCCCTGCTTTTCCCAATACTGAATTAGCAGACTTTTTCATCTTTTTATTTCATAGGTGAAAAATTACATTCTGATTTGCATTTTTTAATTATAAGTTAGACTGTGCATATTTTAATGGGCTTTTAAGTCGTAGGTGTTTCTTTTTCTGTGAAATACCTGTTGATGTCAGTTTTCCCAGTTTTCTCTTAGGTATTTGAACTTCTTGTTATTGATTTGTGAGTGCCTTTTCTATTAAGACCATGACCATTTCTCTGTCATGTTCTATGAGTGTTTTTCCTTTTCCAGTTTTGCCATAGGGAGACTGTAAATCAAGTAGTCACATCTGATCCATCGTCACCTGTTGAGAGGTGCCTACTTAGAAAGTCCTTATTTCCCAAACTGAAAAATAAATTGCCCTTTTTTTAAGTCTTTTATAATTTCATTTTTGAATGTTTTAGTTTTCACTCAGGTCTGAATTCCCCTGCTGTCTTCCTCCAGCCCCATCTGTGACTTCCTAGAACTCCAGCGCCGTTACCGCAGCCTTCTGGTCCCCTCAGATTTTCTGTCCGTGCATCTGAGCTGGCTGTCAGCCTTCCCTCTGAGCCAGCCCTTTTCCCTCCATCATCCAAGCCGGATCCAGGTCTCTGCAGAAAAGGAGGCAGCTCCAGATACTGGTGCTGAGCCCAGCCCTGCAGACAGTGACCCTGCTTACAGTTCCAAGGTCAGCTGGCTGGGCTTCTGTGGCTTTGTCACATTGCCGGAGGTGGAAGGTGGCTCTGAGTGTATCTCGGGCCTTTTTGCACAGGTACTGCTGCTCTCCTCCCCGGGCCTGGAGGAGCTGTATCGTTGCTGCATGCTCTTTGTGGATGACATGGCTGAGCCAAGGGAAACGCCAGAACATCCTCTGAAGCAGATAAAGGTAAGAGCTGGGGTGCAGGAGGCAAGATGCAGTCACTGATAATGTCCAGTGCCTGTAACATTTTTAGAGGTTGGCTTCTGCTCAGTAATATGTAGAAATGCAGTGTTGCAGAGCAGAAATGCCCTTGTTGTACACAGGAGGAAAATACAGCTCAGAGATGTTCCTACTTGTTAGAAGGCATTAGGCGGTTGGTCCGTGTCAGTGGCTAGAGGGCCCTTGGGTGGTGGGCTTCACCACTTCTGCTGCCTTTGTTTTTTGATTGGTGGCAGCCTCTCCTCACTGTTGCAGGAGGCACAGGCCATGTGGGTTTCTTTTGTATCCCTAATCTCTTTGCAGTTTTTGCTGGGTCGGAAAGAAGAAGAGGCAGTGCTGGTTGGGGGTGAGTGGTCTCCTTCCCTGGATGGCCTCGACCCTCAGGCTGACCCGCAGGTGCTGGTGCGCACAGCCATCCGCTGTGCGCAAGCCCAGACTGGGATTGACTTGAGCACCTGCACCAAGTGGTGAGTGGCCGTCCCCAAGTGTGGCCAGCTCGCTGTGGGGAGTCTGTTTAGAAGATCTGGCCTTTGCCCTGTGGCCTGCCAGCTTTCTTCTGTGCCCAGTCATAACTCATGCCACCCCCAGCTACTCACAGATGGACACTGGGGTCCTGAACATGCCCAAGGGTTATGGGGTACTAGAGGTACCCCCAAGCTGTACCTGGCAATCCTTGTTGCCTTAGCTCCGGCACAGCAACTGTCATCTCCCTGTTGCTTGCTGTTCTTGAGGACTTGTTCTGTATCATGTGTTTGTCCTTTCACAGCTCGCTGTCCAGTATGTGCTTGGTCTGTGCTGACTGGAAACACAGGCATTTTGTGAGCCTGGCGTCTGCCTGAATGTGTTGATTGGGGCTTAGGGCTTCCTTTTCCTTTTGCTGTGAGCAGGTGGCGCTTTGCTGAGTTTCAGTACCTGCAGCCGGGACCGCCCCGGAGGCTGCATACAGTGGTGGTGTACCTGCCAGACGTCTGGACCATAATGCCCACTTTGGAGGAGTGGGAGGCCCTGTGCCAGCAGAAAGCCACAGAGGCAGCTCCCCCAACCCAGGAGGTACCAGAGATTAAGGCTGAGCCTTAGGAAGACGCAGAAAAGTAGGTACCCTGACACTGAGACCCTCAGGGTCACATCTTGGCTATGGTTACAGGAAGCAGAGCCTACTGAACAGGCCCCTGATGCTTCGGAGCAAGCGGCAGATAGTTCTAAACAGAATGCGGAGACTCCAGAGGCCACTGCACAACAAGAGATGGACACTGATCTCCCAGAGGCCCCTCCACCCCCTCTAGAACCTGCTGTCATGGCACGTCCTGGCTGTGTAAACCTTTCCCTCCATGGGATTGTGGAGGATCGGAGGCCAAAAGAAAGGATTTCTTTTGAGGCAGGTGTAGGAGTTTCAGGGGGCTGTGGGTAGGGTGCGGGCTGTGGCAGTGTGGCATATTCCTTTTTCACCTGATGCTCACAGGGTTCTGCCACCCCTTCTAAATAGGTGATGGTGTTGGCTGAGCTGTTTCTGGAGATGCTGCAGAGGGATTTTGGCTATAAGATTTATAAAATGCTACTGAGCCTTCCTGAAAAGGTTGTGACCCCCCCTGAAACTGAGAAGGAGGAGGTGGCCAAAGAGGAAGCGGTCAAGGAGGAGGAAGCTGTCAAGGAGGAGGTGGCCAAGGAGTCCAAGGATGAGGTACAGAATGAGGGCACGGCTGCCGAGTCAGACACCCCGCTGGTGAGTACCTTCGTCAGCCCTGGCTGGGCTGAGGACCACACATAGTGATAATGATTATTGTGATCTGAGTCCCTCACTTGTGCCAGGCATCGTCCTAAGTATTTCCCATGTCCCATTTCACTCGTGCTCCCTCACAGTGCATACTTCTTGGAAGCCTGGGATAGACTGAGGCCCAGAGAGATTACTCTCATACCACATAGTTAAGCAGTGGCACACACGGGGTGAAGGAGGTGGCAGAGAAGAGGGGAGGGAAGCATGGCTGACGCGTCATGATGGCATGAAGTCTCCGTCACAAAGAAGGCCTGGGAGAGCAGAGGAGGTTGGATTGCCATATGGTTAGCTGGATGGACTTTTCACCATTTTTATAACGCGAGTCTACTTCTTGCCCAGATGCTCTCAAGTATACTTAATTTTTTCTAGGACTAGGTTGACTCCTGAAGAGAACCTGGGTGTCTAGAAGTGCCTCTGTTGTGCTCTGGATCCTGTGTCATTCAATTAAACACCTACAGGCTCTAACACAGTGCCCGGCACAGAGTTGATACTCAGATGTTAGCCATTATTATTAGTATTACAGGAATTAGTTCCTTCTCCTCATCACCTTGTCTGCTTCTCTAGAAGGAGGATGGGCTTTTGCCCAAACCACCCTCTTCTGGGGGAGAGGAGGAAGAGAAGACCCGGGGTGAGGCATCTGAGGACCTGTGTGAGATGGCCCTGGACCCAGAGCTGCTACTTCTGAGGGATGATGGGGAGGAGGAGTTTGGTATGTCCAGTGGGGAGCAGATTATGGTCCTCAGGTGGTGTCTGTCTCTTAGGGCTGTGAGGCAAGTGTGGGCCACTGTGGGCTCCCTGTTTAACTTCTGTCTCTTAGGGCTGTGGGGCAAGTGTGGGCCACCGTGGGCTCCCTGTTTAACTTCTGTCTCTTAGGGCTGTGGGGCAAGTGTGGGCCACTGTGGGCTCCCTGTTTAACTTGGGTTTTTTTGTAGCAGGAGCAAAGCTAGAGGACTCGGAAGTCCGGTCTGTTGCCTCAAACCAGTCAGAGATGGAATTCTCCTCACTTCAGGACATGGTGAGACCTTTTTTTCCCTTAGTTTTTGTGGTGGGAAGCTTGGCAATACCTCTGATAGGCATACCTCACCTGGGAGGCTACCAGTGACTTTTCCCTTGATAGACAAGAAACACTGATTCATGGGGATCATTTCATTCTCCCTGTTGGGGGGAGCTGAGAGGGATCTAACCTGGGAGCACACCAGGTTCTTTTTGGGAAAGTGCCCCACAGAGGCCTGGAACCTTCAGCTGTAAGGCTGCTTGGTACTGTCATTCAGGCTGCTTGCTGTAAAGAGGTTGTGTCCTGGGCCATTTAGTCACTGAGATCTGTCAGTAAAGCTGTCCATCTGTTTTCCTTTATAGCCCAAGGAGCTGGACCCATCTGCTGTGCTTCCCTTGGACTGTCTTCTAGCTTTTGTATTCTTTGATGCCAACTGGTGTGGCTACTTGCACCGGCGAGACTTGGAGAGGGTCCTTCTTACCCTGGGGATTCGGCTCAGTGCAGAGCAGGTAACTTCTCTTCTGCCCCATCTTTCTGTCTTTTCTGGATGGCCTCCTAATATGCACAGGCCTACAATGAGCTCCTTCTAGTTCCTTGTTCCTCTCTTTGGGGCAGGGTTCACACTGTCTGACCAGCAGGTGTTTGGTGTTTTCTATAGGCCAAGCAGCTGGTCAGTAGGGTGGTGACGCAAAACATTTGCCAGTACCGGAGCCTTCAGTACAGCCGCCCAGAGGTGGTGGACGGTGGGCTTCCTGAGGAGGTGCTCTTTGGTATGTCCTGTGCTATGCACCTGTGGGAAAAGGGGATAGGGTAGGTTGCCTTTTCCTCCCGAGACTTCATGAGATTTTTTTCATGGCCCCTTCTAGGAAACCTGGATCTGCTGCCTCCTTCTGGGAAGAGTGCAAAGCCAGGTGCTGCTCCCACGGAACACAAAGGCCTGGTGCCCCATAATGGCAGCCTGATCAATGTGGGGAGCCTGCTGCAACGTGCAGAACAGCAGGACAGTGGCCGGCTCTACCTAGAAAACAAGATTCATACACTGGAACTGAAGCTGGGTGAGTGGTCTAGAGGCTGTGGGGCTTGTCGTGGGTGGGATGGGAGAGTGGGTATCCCCAGGGACTAGGGTGACACCACTCCGTAGGCTTTAGACCCTTGCCCTGTGCTTCACCTGAGTCCATCCGGTGTGTCTTCCCACATTGCACAGAGGAGAGCCATCACCGTTTCTCAGCCACTGAAGTGACGAATAAGACACTGGCAGCGGAGATGCAGGAGCTGCGGGCCCGGCTGACTGAGGCGGAGGAGACAGCTCGGGCAGCTGAACGGCAGAAGAGCCAGCTTCAGCGGCTGCTGCAGGAGTTCCGCAGGCGCCTGACCCCGCTGCAGCTTGAGATGCAGCGGATGGTTGAAAAGGTGAGTGGGGTGTGTGGGGTGACTGCATCTCCTCTTGGTGGAGCTCCAAAAGCCCCAGAGAACAGTTGGCTGCCATGTGGAAAGCCTAGCCACCAGTGCCCTTCTCAGATTCTCTCATCTCCATCCTCCATCCACTAGTTTCTTTGGGAACCTAGCAGCATGTAGCCCAAAGGCTCCCAGCAGTAAGTGGTTAGCTGTCCTCTGATGTCATCTGTTCTCTGTGCTCATATAGGCCGATAGCTGGGTAGAGAAGGAAGAGCCAGCACCTAGCAACTGAGGGACTTTGCCCAGGAGTGGCCGTCCTGTGAGGTCAGCGATGGAGCCTGATGACGTTAAAGCCCTTTTGGTACCAGAAAGCCACTGGAGCAAGGCCTGGGAGCCACAGGCAGGGGTGGCTGAGCCCTGTGCTCAGCCTCTGCAGGGGATGTCAAGCCATCAGGGTGGGGTCTGTGCTTTGTGGGTGGAAGTTTGAGGAACCCCAGTTCCAGCTACAACTAAATATAACATCTTTTGCACCCCTAGAATGTCATTTTGCCCTCAACCTTGGAATTTCTCCCAGGGCCCTTGTAGTATTGTGCTGTCTCCTGTCCTCTTCCAGCTTAGAGTGAGACAGGGGAGGAAAAGGCTTTTCGAGCCTGTGACAAGGTCTGATGCTAGTACACTGAAGGAACAGATGTGGAGTCTGGTGGGGGCTAAGAAACCCCTTCCTTTGGATGGCACAAGTCCTATAGGTTCCAGGCGCAGACTCCTGGGGGGCTCTGGTGGCCGTCGTGGGAGTGGAGTCTAAGCTAGAAAGCTCTCGGTGTTGGGCCGAGGGTGCCAATAGAACACTGTGTTCCAGCCACCCCAGACTCGCCAGAAGAAACCAGCACCTCCTTCCCCGGCTCCTGTGTTCAGAATGTGGTATTGGCTCTGGCCCAGCCTTTTTCCCTGTTACCCATAATTCTCGCCTCTTTCCATAATCCGTGGTTTCAGTTTGACTTTGTATATAAAGTTGTTTTTTTTTTTTTTTTTTTTTTTTTTTTGGCTTTTTGTTTTTTAAATAAACCAAAGTCAAAAACAAACCAGTGTGTTCTCCTAGCTCTCCCTGTTCCTTTTCTGGCCAGCCTGGTGCCCTCCCAGCCTCCTGGCCCTAAGCCAGTGTCTGCACCCTGGCAGTTCTTTCCAGAAGGTGGAAAGCCTGAACCTTTGCACCCTAGGCTGCCTGCCTGCTGGAATCAGGCAGAGGCCCTCTGCCAAGTGGGCAGGAACTGGGATAGCTGTACCAGGGGCTCCCCTTCTCTCCACAAGTCAGCACAACACTAGGTGGATGTTTTGTTGGAAACTTTACTTGAAAAAATAAAATTCCAGATATCCAGGTTAGACACAAACCCACTGCTCTTGCTTTGAGGCCTGTGGATTGATGTGTCACATGCTGCATGGGGGGATAGTTAACATCAAGTCCCAGTTACCTAGGGAATGCGGAAGAGCGAGGGCTTGTCCCTGCACTGAGCCCGCCTTTGTCATGCTGGAGTGAGGGGTCTGCTGGGGCTGGAGGAACAGGGCTCTCCTGTTCCCCAGGACTGTGCCTGTACCTTGCCCAGAAGACTCTTTGGTGTGAAGAGCAACGAGGGGCCAGGAATGTGTCCTCGAGGTAGATGCGATCCCTGCTGTGCAAGTGGGGCTAAGACCCTCAACTGCAATGGCAAAACCCAGGCCCTTCCAGGGGGCTGCTGCTCTGGCCTGAGGTCAGGTTATACTCTGGACGGTTCTTCAGGAAATAAAAAAGCCCCTAGGGTTTTTCTACACTGCTTACCTGTGCCTGAGGAGAGCAGCCTGTTTGTTTGGGGCTCCTGGTGACAGGCTCAAGAGAATGGAGACACTCAGTTCAAAGGATTATAAGGTGGAGCAGGGGCCACCTCTTGTCTCCAAAACAGCAGCCAGTGGGAGAAGCATGAGCCTGTGCCTGCTAAGGGCAAAGACTAGAGAGGTTGCCTGTGTCCCAGAAGTCTTTGAAGGATGGAAGCTCAGTCATCAGCCACGATAGAGAGGGCTCGGAGCTCGCTCAGTTTGGCATCGTTCTCTCGCTCCCGCTGCTCATCTGAGTGGCCCGGCTGGTCAAGCTGCTGGGTGAGGTCACCAAAGATCTTATGCATTTCTGAGTAGTACACGACCTGGGCAAGAGGCAAGAGGCAAGAGTTGTTGGCAAGGGCTGGGCTCCCTTAGCATCCAGTGCCCAAGCACAATACCTGCGGGGCCCAGCAGTCTAGGAGCACTAGCCTAGCCAGGGTCTGGTCCCTTGGGTGGCTGGTGGCTGGCTCAAGGCAGGTGTTTCTACTCACTTCTCCATCACCTCTCTGGCCCTCACCCATTTCCCTGAACTGGTGGTGCAGGAAGGACTGAACCACAGCCTGTGGCTTTCTGGAATGTCCACTGCAGAGAAAGGCTCCATCCAAGACCAGGGTTGCAGAGAGGCAATGTGGCCCTGTGGGGCTGGGGGTGGAGGTGACGCCCTTCAATCCCTGGTTCCTTCCAACAGCTGGTGTGGGCAGGGGTGCCTGTGCACTTGGGAGTGGTTGGAGAAGAACACATGGCCAAGGCCAGGCCCAGAGAGAGAGAAGATGATTAGCGGGCACCATACCTCAGTGGGAAAGAGAGGACACGGCAGGTGGTAGATCCCAGGGCCTTGAAAGCCTGCTCTAGAAGTAAAGGTGAGATCAAGGCTCTGGGATCTACCACCTGCCTTCCATTCCTGCCCCACCCTTGTTCCTGGCCTAAACCACATAGCCAAGGGGAGTGGTTCTAAGGCTGGGCTTATGTCCACAGGTCCTTCTGGGTAGGGAACAGCAATAGGGTGGGAGGGACACAAGGATGAGAGGCTAGGGTGGGGGAGTGGGATAGGCTCTTCAGCAACACCCCCAGATTGCTGAGGACTAGGGGCTTCTCCACAGAGGGCAGAGGCCATTTCTGCCATGAAACTAACCACTTCCTGATCAAATAAAATGCGTGTGCTCCTGTGTTCCACTCTCTCCAAACTCCCCAGCTTGGCTGTCACCTTCTCTTTAGAAACTTGGAGATGCTAAACTGGGAAGGTGCACGGTGCAGTGGGGCCAGGGCTGAGTTGTATGTACCTTAGGAAGTCTCTTGACATCCTAGCTGGCTTCCTCTGGGACCAGGGGAGCTAAGTGAGGTCAGTCCCAACCTATTGCTAACACCTGAGAAACTGGGGACATAGGCAATCACTGGGGTGAGGGCAGGGGGTGGCCCTAAATTTCTTGCCCAGGCTGCACTGCCCAGTGAGTCACCAGGAATGCTCACTTCTCTAGTGACTAATGGCAGCAGCAGCCATGTGAGGGGGAGGTTGGCACTGAGGAGGCAGTAAACAGCCGTGGTTACCCCACTGATTTGGCTATAGGTCATCCCTAACCTCCCAAACGGCTCCAGCCTGGGCACCCTCCAGCTTTCTCCTGGGAGCTAGGGGAGGGCAGGTAGGGGGTAGGTCACTGGAGGCTGCAGTGGGGTTGTGTCAGCAAAGGAAAGGGTTGGCAAGGGTACAGCTGCAGGAAGGAAGCCCTTGTCGCCTCCTGCTGGTGGCTCTGTCTCACTGCCCTCAAGAAACAAGAAAGGACCAAGGACTTAGGTCATTAGGAAATCCCAGCTGCAGGGTAGATCCTGCTCAGCTTTCCTAATGCCAAGTACCTGGTCCCATGGCTTTGGACGTCTCCAAAGATGCAGGCGGAGAAGTGGGAACCAGACTTTTCCAGGGGAAATCTATAAGGAAAGATGACATCCACTGGAGGGCGCCAGATGCCCAGGCAAAAGCAGAAGTGGGCAGGCCCTGGTAGACAGGGACTGGAAGCCTAAAATTTGGTGACCTGGTGATAAAAGATGGGAAGGGTGTGTTGGGATCCTGAGGCTAACAATGAGCATCTATGATTAGCTGGGGTCCATGTGGAAGAGCCCTGCTCTTGGCTCTGGCACCTCAACCTTTCCCATTTGGCCAGTGCAGAGAATCCTAGCTAAAGGCTTGAAGATAGATGGGGTGGGAGAGGCCAGGGGACACACGCCATCCTGCTCTGAGTAACAGGACACACAGGGCTCTGGCCAGTATACTAAAATGGTGCCTGGTCCAAACACATAGTTGGGCAGCACCACAGGCCAGTCTGCGCCCCACCTGCCCTTCCACCAGGGGGTGCATCACGAGACAGCAGCTGGCATGGCTCTCTCTGGGGCTCAGGGTCCCCTCCATGGGAAGCTCAAAGTTTCCACTGGGTCCTCAGAGGCCTTCACTCTATGGACCTCTGGATCCCTCACCACCTGGAAACCTCAGGCAAAGAACCTGCCCAAACTAGAGGCTGAAGGTGCTGCCTGGTTTAAGAAGCCAAGGGAGGAATGGCTAACACAACAAGGCCCTCGTCCATCCTGGGGCTGGGATTAACCTACGAGCAACGGAGGAAGCCAGACAGAAATCCTTGCACGGTCCAAGTCCTGCAGTGCCAGAACCCTATGTCCCAGCACTGAATGATAGCCTGCGGTGGCTGGGGTGTTGGGCCCAGCTGTCTGTGCAGAGAATGACCAAGTCTCCCTTCCAGTGTGGGGTATGGGATGGCCTGAGGGTGTTCACAAAGCCCAGGACTATCTCCCAAGGCAAGAGTATTTGGTCACCTTTGGGTGTGTGAGTGGCATGGCCTCACCTGCGCTCGGATCAGGGACTCAAAGCTGGGCTGGAAGTAGTCGAGTCGGCTACCGTAGAACCGTGGCATCTCATCCAAGAGCTGCTTGTTCTTGGCCTCAAAGTCATCCCGCACAGGCCGCAGCTCTTCTCGGGCCTGAGGAAGGAGACCTTGTCATCAAGACACTCATGGCTGGTGCAGGATGCAGGTGTCTGGGTGCCAGTAGGAATAGCTGGTGCCTTGGTCCCCAGGAGCAGGGAGGAACTTGGCCCCAATGACCCTTCTGGCCACCTTGTCCCTTCTTTGTCAACCCCCTCACCCGCTCCCATCTCCCTGACACCTGGTGCAGCTTGGCCAGCACGGGTCCTGTCTTCTCCTTCTCCTCGTACTTCTCCACCTTGGCCTGGAGTCTCCTGTAGTCCTGCAAGGCCTGCTCCCGCCGCTTCACTGCCATGTTGAGGCTCGGGAAGACACTGCCAAACCTGCCGGGCACAGTTGGGTTGGACACAGGCCCATTCTGGGAGGGCAGCCTGGCAGCTCATCAGTCATTCACAGGTATGTATGGAGTACCTACTAAGTGCAGACCCTGCTCCGGGTCTTGGGATTTTACCAGGAGACAGACCAACCAGTGCCTGGTGGCCTGGAGCTTATGTTACTAACAGAACAATGTCCAGGAGGAAGGTCAAGAGCACGTGAACTTTTAGGACCACTCCATTAGGCTTGAGCACCGGGGGCGGAGAATGGATGACACCACTTGTCCAGCTGCTACCTCCCTCCCTGCCCACAGCAGTCTCACCATACTCCAGGACCTGCACGAGAGGATGGCAGGGCTGGGACACTCCTCCTCAGAAGGTATTTGTCAGACAGCTTCATCTTAAAAACTGAACTGGGAGAACCCAAGGCTAGGGAGATGACACATGACTTGCTCAAGGTCACAATCAGACAGATAGTCCATAAGAGTACTCAAGTGCCAAATTTTCTGTCTGGCACCCGCTCATCACCTCATAGTGCCACTGGTAGGTCACAGAACTGAAACTGGAAACTACTCTTTCAAGGGCTCCTCAGCACCACAGGAAAAGCAGAAATTCTGCTGTCCTACCACCGAAAGGGCAGACCAACAAACCAGAACTTTATGACTCAGGGACCTCCTCCTACCCCATGACTAAAATGGACCAAAATGGGAACCACTCATAAGAGTGGGCCATTCAGAAACAGCAGCAGTATTTTCAATGCTCCGGCATCTGGTAATCTGAAAACCAATTCCTCTAATTTAATGTCCATCATGGAAGGGCTTGCTACCTAACTGAAAATGCTAAAGAAGGGACAGATCACCAGGACTTCTCTGACTCCTCAGCTACATGCCCTTATGTGTGGGAATCAAGCCCTGCTCCTTCTTCCTCTCTGGGTTCCTCCAGGAGGAGCTGACTCTTCTGGTCCTGCTCACCAACTCTGCTTCTCCACCCCGAGTGACCAGAGTCGGCAGGCCCCTCAGGTGCATGGCCAGATAATGATAGGCTGGCAGGGCAATATTTGACTGACTGACTGACTGGTCAGGCAGGAGACGCGGCCTATTCAATGCTGTGTAACTGGTAGACGTGGGGACCCTCTCCACCAGGACTCATGCATGGTGTTCCACAGAGTGCGTCTAAAGTGTGATGTCACTGGGAAGAGTTGGTCTTGATGCTTTTGCCCAAGGCAGCTGCACAATGGAGTTGCAGCCACCAGAGGAGCCCCTCTCCATTCCTGGGCAGCTGAGCGGTATGTGGCACAAGGGAGCAGGTGTAGTTGGCCTGGGAAGTTACCATGCTGTCCCTCCCACCCCAGGGGACAAGCGTTCTTAGCAGCTGTCTGATCCTCTTGTCAGAAGTAATCTTCTGCTTTGGTGGCCCCAGTGCCTGGGAGGTGCTGGGTGGCTGTGGAACAGGTACAGGGCAAGAATGAGAGGCAGCAGCGGGGCGCTTTCCTGCCCTGACTATCATCCCACCACTCCACGCCCATCATCTCAGGAAAGGGCAATGCCATGTGTGTGAGGCACAAGACTGGTGTTATGCGAGTCGGTCAGGGGGCCCTGGACACCTGCTGACCTGAGCAGCACCTGTACCTGGGCACATACTCCCAGGCTGTTTCCATAGCTGTCATCTCCAGGGCCAGAGTCAGCTCCAGCAGCAGTGCCAAACAGAGGGACCCAGTCAGCCTCTGGAGAACACAGCAGCAGAAGCTCAGGGCAAAGTGCACAGCTGGGAGGGTGGGGTGGGAAGGGACTGGGGGTTACAGCCTTGGGAACAGGTAGTGTCAGACGGTTATGTGTACAGGTTAATCAAATATTGGCTCCTTCTCTGTCTCTGGAATCAGTGTCACCTATCCTCTGCAGGTGCAGTGGCTGCGGTTGGAGCCTGACTGGCAGGGAGACTGATGTCCCCCACAAGAACTTCTGTCTCCCACCACAGCACTCCTCAAACTGAGAGGCCATGCAGGCTCAGGCCACAACTGATGAAGCACTAATAACCATGAGTAGCTTTGGATTTGGGGCTTGGGATCTTCTGAGGCAAAGGAGAGAGATCACAGCCTACCTTGAGGTGGCTAAGAGTGGGGGAGCAGGATGTTAGCCCCCTTTCCTGCTGATTGAACCCCCACCTTTCCATTTTCTACTTTTCAGCCATGGGCGGACAGATGGCCAGCTCAGTGGCAGGTGGTGTGTGTACTGTGGCACTGCACAGCTTTCTGACAATGGGACGCCCCCACCCCACCCCAGATGTGAAATGGTTCCCTCCACCTTTAGGTCAGAGGTCTGGGTGCCAGTAGGAGGCTGGTCCCCTGTGTCAAAGCCCCTCCTTGGCATGCCCCTGGGACTTAAAAAGGTACACACTGCCTTCCCCCAGCAAGGGCACAGCTCTGCCTCCAGATGCACACACGACGCCCACGCCTTCCTAGTTTTCCCTAAAGAAATAAGGCCAGGGGGCTGGGGCTGGGGCTCAGTGGCAGAGCGCTTGCCTGGCATGTGTAAGGCACTGGGTTTGATTCTCAGCACCCCATAAAAATAAAATAAAGGTCCATTGACAACTAAACAAACAACAACAAAGAATTAACCTTACAAAAAGAAAGAAAGAAAGAAGGAAGGAAGGCCAAGAGGTGAGACTCTCCCTGCTCAGTCCCTGCTGCCCCTTGGTAAGTTAGTGGTAAGACATGGGGGACAGGATTCCCGGGACCAGGTCTCAGGAAATACTCTGCTCCCAAAACCCACTCAGATCACACCTCCCCCTGCCCACCCAGCCCTGCCTCCCTGCTCCTCAGCGGCCTCTACCACCCGAGAAGTCAGTTCCGAGGACACACGCTCAGGCTGGCGGGGTGGGCTGGCACACCTTCCCCATTCCATGGTACTGTGCCAGGTGGCAGTGAGTACACCTGGGCCTGCCTTCCTGAGGCTCCAAAGTACCTCAGGTCTGATTCACATTTATCCTGGAAGGGACAACTGGCTGGGCCCACCCCAGGTCTTTCCTACTGGAGTTTGACCCATTGGGCTGTCCTTCTCTTGCTTGCCCAAGCTTCATCAGCAAGCTAGCTCTCCGGGAGGCAGGGAGGCAGGGAGGCAAAGCGTGGGGTGAAGGGAGAGTGAGGAGGGAAAGAGGCCGGCTGGGAGGTGGGCTGGGAGCAGCCGGCCTGGTGGGGAATGCCTGCCATTCCTCATCTGTGCCCACGCAGCCGGGATCTTCCACCCACCAGGAAAGGGAAATTGAAAGCATCCCTGTCCGACATGTGAACGGGCCAGGGACCGGGGATTAGAGGCTGAGCCCCCTGGGGGGCAGGCTGGGGGCGGCAGGGTGGCCATGTGGCCATGATCTTCATCAGAGGACAGGAAAGCTGCAGTTTCCTGTTTCCGGTCCTGGGGTCCCTGGGAGCTTCTCTCCTGGCAGAGGAAGCAAGTGGGGAGGAGGCAGCAGGCTGTGGTGGTTTCTGTGGTCAGGGGAGATCGCATGTTGGCTGCGGGCTGCAGGGAGCAGCCAGCTTGGGCAGCCAGGCAGGCCGGAGGGCTCATGCAGGGGTCAGAGGATCCGCTGCGGAGATGGTGGCTGCCCCCTCTGCCACGCCCCCACCTTCCTGGCAGGTGGTGGGCTGTGCTTGTGGTGGGAAGCAGCCGGGGTTTCTCTCTGTTTGGCTGCAGGATCTGATTTCAAGGCCGCCTCGTTGGTTGTGAAACAGAGACAGGAGTCAACCCCCTGCTCTCTGAGCTGGTATCCCTGCCGGGCTGTGCCAGCCTGTGGCTACCTCTGGGACCCTGCAGCTCTCCACACGGAGAAGTCCTCTTGTGGACAAGGTCTGTTCTGTGTTCCTTTCACTCAGCTCTGAACCTTTGACCTGTAGATCAGGCCTCAGAGTCACAAGCACTCAGGCTCATCCTACACCCAGCTCCCCACGTGACCCTGAGACAGGGGGGTGAGTATGACTGGGAGGCAGTGGGTGGTAAAGCCTACTCTGGGGAGGCTGGGTGGCAGGGAAGGAGGCAGGAGGAGAAATCCCTTCGTGCACCAGCTCGGCCTAGCTTCCCACTGCAGGCCTGGTTAGGAAGGAGTGCTTGAGGGGTTAGAGGTGTTTTTCCTAACCCCACCCCTTGGACTTGTACAGCGAAGGAATAGATCAACACCCCCCAACACAAGGGACTGGAGGATCAAAAACTGCTCTCTTCATCTCCCTCTGGGCCCTGATCCAGGCCTAATGATAATTAAGCAGGGCCTCATTACCCAGGGCCTGGCAAAGCAGCTGCCAGGGACCACCACAGACGAGGTAATAAAGTGCAGCTGCTGGGCTGGAGCACAAGCCTTTCTAGGTCAAAGCCGAGTGGGAGAGGCCAGGAGAGGAAGGACTTGGGAGCTTCAAGGCTTCAGTCTGCTCCTCCCTCCAGGGCCCAGGGAACAGGCCTGTCTGATCACTGACCAAGGCCTGCCAGACAAAGATGAGTCTTGCGGAAGAATTCCTGGTCCTCACAGGTCACGAGCTAGAGGGATCTCTCCAAGCAAGACCCCACTGCTGCACCCTTCCCCATGTGTGGCCACCCCCACGTTTCCAAAGCTGAGGGCTGCAGGCAGCTGCACTCCCACCCGGTCTGAGATGAAAGGCCTTGCTCATGTCCGCTGAGGGCTGGCCAGGATCTCTGCTGGCCGAATCCAGCCAGCCCTGGCCCCACGGGTCCCAACCGGGAGCAAAGGGGAAAAGGGCCAAATGACCGACCGACCACCGGAGCAGTGTCTGGCGCCATGAGGGGACCAGCAGTTCCCGGCTACCTCAGAGCATGTCTGGCACTGACAGTGCTCTGGAGCTGCTGGGAGTCTGCACCCAGAGAGACACAGATCTCATGGCTGGAGCCCCTTTGAGCCTGTCTGTCCCTATGGGGGTCTGGGTACAGGCTGCTAGATAGGCTCCTTAGTCCCCAAGTGGCCAGTTAACCTGCCTTTCCCTTAAGTGCCCTGAGGCCTGTGTCCCCAGATGACATTACTCACTTTTTCAAGGGTTCAATCACAGTCTTTTGGATCTGGTTCACCTGTCAAAGAAAAACCCAATGGCATCAAAACTGGGGGACTTAGACTCTCCCTAAAAGGGGAAGTTGCAAGTTCCTTGGAAGGCAGAGATCCGTCAGGCCCTTAAAAGCAAGGACAGAAAGGGGATGCAGAAGGAGAGGCAAGGTGGCACCCCTTAACTCCGTAGCTTGAAGAGGCAGAGAGATCAATCAGGAGGCCCAAGGGCCAGGTCAAGTTCATCCCGTTAATGCTGCTGCTAAGGCTCAGACATTGCTCAGTGTGGAAGCCTAGGTGGGGGCTCGAGAGAGCTTCAGGGGCCCTGCATGAGCAGACCTGCCATGCGTACGTACCCTCATGGTCTCACAGTAAGGGGTACACCTCACAGGAGCCATGGGAAGAGGATGCAGCCCAATCAGGGAAGAGGCGGGTGCGGGCTTGCAATACAAGGACTCCAAGGACCGAATGGCCCAGATGGAGAGGCAGAGGGGGGAGGTGCTAGTGCTTGGTCACTAGAGACAAAGACTGAATCACCTTTTCTTGGTTGAAGGCATCCATCCGCTTCATGGCTGTGTCCAAGGCTGTGACCATGTTCAAAAAGTCTTGGTCTTGCTCACAGAGGGGATTGGAAAGTAAGTCCAGGGATATCTTCACGGCAGATTTCGACATGGCTGTAAGAAGTCAAAAAGTGGTGAACCATTGAAGGAACAGGTTCAAGGTCTCCTCAGTGCTTCCTGCTTTCCCATGGTCCAGGGACCTGCAGCCCTCTTCCCATGCCACTGCTATTAAAATTACATGGCACCACAGAGCCATGTGGCCCTGAGGATTGAACCCAGGGCCTCATGCATGCTAGGCAAGTGCTCTACTACTGAGCTACATCCCAGCCTCTTTTATTTTACTTCAAGAGAGGGTCTGGCTAAATTGCCAAGTCTGGCTTCAAACCTGGGATCCTCCTGCCTCAGTCTCCCCAGTAGCTGGGATTATAGGTATGCACAACTGTGCCTGGTTATCCTCAGTGTTTAGTGCTTATTTCTGACTATCTAACACCACATCAAGGAACACTTTCACAAAGCTTTATGGATTACAATGACTTCATTTTCTAAACTCTAGGTTATACTAGGATCATTTGGGTGGGAATCTGTAAAATATCCATCTCTGGCTCCAGAGATTCTAATTCAGCAAACTGGGAACCTGAGAATATGTATTTTATAAACCTCTCCAGGTGGCATGGCTGTGAGGCTTTGGCCTCCCTTGTGTACACAAGTAAAAGCACTCCAGTTTACACCTGGCTCAGCACGCTTTCACTGTAAAGGGCCAAAGGGTCCTTTGTGGACTGGAGGAGGCAGCTCAGAAACCTGTTGGCTGCTGAGGTTCTTGGTCCCATAGTTGTTTTCAGGTCTCAATTATTTGCAGTCAAAATTCTCGAGGGGCAGGAAGATGGACTGGAGGGTGCCTGTCCATACCAGTTTCAGAGTACATCTGGCTTCCTTGGGGGGGGAGACAAGATTTTGAAAGCATTTTCTCTCCCTCTCTCCCTTGCTTCTCTTCCTTCTTTCCCTTTCTCTTTCTTTTTTGTACAGGGAATTGAACCCAGAGGTGCTTAACCAGTGAGCCACATCCCAGCTCTTTTTATTTTGAGACTGGTCTCACTAAGTTGCTTAGGGCCTTGCTAAGTGGCTGAGTCTGGCCTCAAACTGGTGATCCTCTGCCTCAGCCTCCCAGGTTGCTGGGATTACAGACCAGGCCACCACATCTGGCCAAATGCATTTTCTTACTACTTGTATGTCACTGAATTTAAGACACTATCAATTGTGTGTGTGTGTGTGTGTGTGTGTGTGTGTGTTGCTGGGAATTGAACCCAAGGCTTGTGCATGCTAGGCAAGCATCTACCACTGGCTATACCCTCAGTCCAAAACATTACCAGTTGTAAAACATACCATTGCTGCATAAACCACTAAGAAAGAAAGAAAAATGCTGCCAATGGAACCAGAACACACCATCAAGTGTTATAGTGCTTAGAAGTCAGACATGTTACAGTGAACAGTGTCTTAGAATTAATGAAGGAAGTCCTTCCTTCCAGCTGATCAGTATGATCTTCCCTCCACTCATCAGGTGCCAGGAACCCTGAGCCCAGTGCTATCCTGAGGAAGGGCCTGCTTCTCGACTGTGGGTTAGAAAGAACCTGAGCCCTGGGTAAGAGGGGTCCTGCCTGGCCCAGCCCCTCTACAAGGCATCAAAGAGGCCCTGAGTAGCCAGCGGCCCGTTCTGAGCACCACCTAGGCTCCCCTGGGATCTGGGAGAGGGCTGCAGTCACCTAGCAAAAGGGCCAAATGGGAGAGAAGACTGGAAACGTAAACTTTCCAGAAATGTTGAAACAACGGAGGAAGAAACACTTTAAAATCTGTGAAGTGACTTTGTAGATTAGGAACAAACATTATGCATAACTTGATTTGATTATGAAATGATCACATATGGCATAATTAAAAGATAATAAAAACCTGGATAAAGCTGGAAAATTTCTGAAAAATGTCTTCTACTAATGTTTCCCCCATATTTGATGGAAAAAAATCCAAAAGCTGGGGGTGGGGAGACATTCTTTCTCTGTTTCTGCTTTCCCAGTGCCCACACCTCTGACTCTCATGTGAAGTCAATGAACTGCATCTCTCAAGCCACTGGCTCAGGAGCAGAACTGGGTCTGGAATCTCCTTAGGCACACAGCCCGGTGCTCAGGTCAAGAAAGCCCTGGTCCCCTGGCCTAGCTCACATTCCTCTCTGTCTCTGCCTAGGCTCAGCAGGGCATGGCTAGCCAGCACAGCCCCAGAGGCTGGTGGGTTTTGAACCTCAGAGAAAAAGAGGGTCATGGGTCCCCTTGAGTCTTCTGAATTGTAGGATCCAAAGATCCCTCAGAGACTGATCACTCTGAAAGTCCTACAACTTTTTTGAAAGAAAGATCAACTTTTTTAGAAAAACAACTGGGGATTTTAGATTCTATCTGGGGAGCTCAGGAGCTTCTGAAGTCAGGAAAGGTATAATTCAATTCCCCTCATTGTCAGGGTCACTGGCTCTTTCAGTGTGTCCCTGATCTGGCTGCACCAGTGTCACCTGGACATGCATCAAAGACACATCTCTGGGTCTCATTCCAACTGGATGAATCAGAGATCTGGGGGTGGGCCCTGAGCCCACCAGTGATCCTGCTGCCACCAACATGGGAGGCTCTGGGTGTGGCTGTGAGGCCGCAGCCGTGTGCCCAGTGAGGAAGAGCCTACTCTGCCCACACTCTGCTCCTCACTCAGGGGCCAGTAGCCCTCAGCTCCAGGAGCCACCCACCTAATCCTAAGTTCTCCATAGCCAGACTCCTTTTCATGGATCCTGATGTTCTACTTGGTTCAAAGCAACCCACTACGAAAACAACAAGCCTTCACTCCACTCGTGCTCTCACAGTGCAGCTGCCTGAGGAGGAGGGAGGGGAGGAAGTGGCAGGTCACAGCACCTCCCCTGCTGAAGACAGTGCAGAGCAAGAGACAAATGCCATCCAAATAATGCAGACCCCAGAACACACAGAACAGATAAACCCCCAAGTCCAACCCTTGGCTTGGAAACGTGAGGGGCCAGCAGTGAAGTGGCTGTGTTCAGGATGGCCCATACTGTCAGGATTAGCAATGGCCCGAGGCTCTGGGGCCCTGACCAAAGGGGCTGGCCCTCCTTGCACAGGCGGGCAGCTTTGCTGGTGGCTCCCAGCTTCTAGAAGGTAGAGAACCCTGCTCCCGGGGAAGGCACACTTCCCTCTGATCAGCTTTTTAAAGTGCCCTTTACTGGAAAGATGCATGTTTATGTAAGTAAATGGCTGAAGTCTTAGCATCTGGGAAGAAAATGAGAGAGAATCCAAATTGTTGCCTGTGCTAGGGACCTTCCATTGCACATCAAGTAGGACTGGGTCTTCTAATGCCACCCTGAGCTGCTCAGTACCTTGTGCATTCTGGATGGCCTCTGGAGACCTTGATGCTGCCCATCTGGACTTGGCTCATGAGGCACCCATGCCAACACAGATGGGCTAAGGTTCTAGAGTGAAAACTCTGCCATTTCTACTAAGAGGGGGGGCAGAGGAACAAGTGAGATGGTGACAGAGGACAAGCAAGAAAGGGGTAGACTTTTCTGTCCTGAGACAGGGGACTGAACTAAACGGTTTATTCTCTCATGAAATGGACATCTCACATTCCCTGTCAATCTCAAGTTTAGAAGAGATAATGAGGGTAAAAGTCCTAGGAGAACTGTTCCAGGGCTTCACCGCCATCAGGGAGCACTTGTATGTGGGTGGAATGGCCAAGTGCAGAAGATGGATCCTCACCTGAGCACACAGCCTCTGAAGAAAAGCCTGCTCCACTCAGGGCCTTGGCACTTGCTGGCCTCTTCGTTCAAAGCACTGTTTCCTCAGATATTCTTGATGGATGATTCCCTCGTCCCTTAGGACTGTGTGGAAGGGATCCCTCCTCAGGGAGGCCTCCTCCTGTACCCTGTCACGCTCCTCCCCTTATTCTTCCTCATACTATCACTGTAACATGGCATTATAACATATACTCATTGACTTCTTATGTCTCCCCTCCTTGGACGGGAAGTTCCTGTTGAATCCCTAGCTCTGAGGCACAGGTCCAGCATTTATAAAGTGAGAGAAGGTGGAGAACCCTGGTCAAACCTAAGTCTCCCTCAGATTCTACTCTAAAATGACATTCACACATGCTGACCCTCTCTGAGAGGCCACCACATGCTAGTGCTGCTCTTAGTGCTTTTTACTAAGAGCAACTGAACCAACTGATTCACCGTCACATCAGCCGGAGGGATCAGCACCTCGAGAACCTGTGTTTTCTGGACCAGGGAACTGAGGCACAGTGAGTTAGCCTGTGGTCCAAAGTGACCGGGCAGGGCAGGGCAGGAATTAGTGGCAAACTATTGGTCAAGTGCGGGGTGTCCTGGGGTGGAGACAGTAAGGGAGCACTGCTCCACTGCTCCAGCTGCTGGCTGGCTCCCTGGGGACAAAGCCTGTGGACACAGTCTCCTGACACTGCCTGACTTCAGAGCTGTCTTTGTCTCAGAGCTCCTGGGCCTAGCTTTTCCTCATCAAATAAGATCTCTTCAGCCAAGAAGCCTCCCCAAGGCCTTGGCCATTTCCTGGCACCTGCTGGCTCTCACTCACCACAGACCTTTCAGTGCCCTTCACAACAACAAATTTATCCTGAGGTATTAGGCCATATACTTTAACCCAACTCTGTTTAAATGCACAACAGCTTCAGTTCCTGTTACCACAAGAAAACCAGGAACTCTTGTTTCTGTGAGCAGGGAAGGCACTGCCTGAGCTGATGGCCCAGATGCTGAGTAGTGGAGGCACCTCTGCTAGAAGTTTCTACTGGCCAGGGTTCTATCCTAAGTGGAATTCCAGGAGAGCCTTGTACTCATACCACTGCCACAGTAGGGCAGGAGGAAGTGGTGCTCTGACCTCAGGGCACTTCTCAGGGACACTATTTTGACATTCTCTGAATGTGGTGACTTACAAGTCATCCCCTGAGGGAGCAGGACACCCCCAACCCTACCAGCCACACCAGGCGTGGGCAGGGCACCTACCCAGGTCAGCATCGGTGCTCTTCTTCATGTCCTTCTGCAGTCTCTTGGTCTGCTCCTCCAGCCTGCAAGGCAGGGGCAGGCCTGGGTGCTGGGCCACACGGCACTCAGGCTCCTCCGCCCCTGACCTGAGAAGGCCCACCAGGGAGGGAAGGACCTCTCCATGGGGCTCTTACCCCAAACTGCATGTTCTGCAGGAGGCCAAGTCCCCAAAGGCTACTAGTAATGACTGTTCTAAAGCCATCTGCTGGGGGAGAACTGGCAGCCTGGTGACCTGAACTGGCCTCAGCTTCCAGGTGCTGACAGGGCTAATGAGTGGCCCACTGACTGGTCAGAAGGAGACAGGTAGGGTGGGGAGGGAGACCTAGCAGGAGGTATTGCCCTTCCCCAACACCCGCCTCATCCCGGGGTTTGACACTCACTGCTGGAGTTTTCCATACTCCCTTTCAAAGTCTCTCTCCACCTGTAACAAAACAGATAACTCGATCAACAGAGAAATGACAACACAATGGAAAACATCTCCCAGCCTGAGATTCTCCACACCCTCCCCATCTGCAGAAAACAACGCAGTCCAGTCCATGCAAGCTCCAGCAGATCCTCAGGGACACAGTATCCCCTGTGTTCCCAAAATTAATGAAGTGTTTGACTTGGGAGAAGGCCTCTCCTCCCAGAGGGGCCAGCCAGGCAAGTCACAGCGGATTGTGGCTCTGCTCTGCCACCACGGGGAGTGAGGTGCCAGGCTGGGTGCCCTCTCTTCGCCCCCACTCTGGTGGCGGTCAAAGTGCTCTGGAGTATGACTGAAGTGCACCCAGGGAGGCAGCAGGGCATGGAGAAGAGGCCGGCTGCAATTCAGGACTGGCCCTGCCTCGCGGCAGCCAGGAGACTTTGCGGGACGCCACCCGCTCAGCCTTGGTTTCCCCTCCGGTCCTCCTGCCGGCAGCTGGGTCTGCGGCAGGCCAAGAAAGTCCACGTATGTGACTGCAGGTGGCAAATTTGTTCTGGGAACAGGGAAGGGGCTCTGTCTTCAGTTTAGAGGATAAGCAGAGATAGATAAGATATGAGCTCTGACTAGCTGTGGAGCTTAAAAATATTTCCTCTCACTCCAGAGCCTCACTTTCTTTTCTGGTAAAAGGGTAACTAACTTCAGTTAGTCAGTCGGGTGAACTTGAGGGGCTACAAAGCTTACAGTGCTTAAACAGGCAGTATGTGCAGGGCACAAGCCAGGTGGCTGGCCCACCATGGTGCTCACTGAGGGTGACGGTCCAGAGTGTCTGTGAGCCTCTCCTGCACTGAGTGATGGAAGTAGCCTGGGGAGGCAGACTGGGCTGTCGTCTTTCCAGCAGAAAGGAGAAGCAGCCCAAAGTGCACAGGCAATGGCAGCCAGGTAAACTCTGACCGTGGCTAAGCATGAAGCACTGTGCTGGGTGCTAGGACAGTGTGTGGCTCCTGCTCAACCTCAGAGGACATGTCTTTACAAGTTAAAAGTAGTTTTTCCAAAGGGATGAAATGAAAACTAAGCATTTCTTAGTCAGTCAAGCTTTCCCCGAGATCTACAGCACAGAGTAGGTGCTTGCTCTCTGGGAGGAGCCCTGCGCTGTGCCTTTGGCTCCCAATCCTCTCTTTTGCAATCCCCTGAGAGTGCTGATGTGTGTGGGATGTCAGAGAACACCTGGTTTCCCTGCCTGGGGACTGCTTGAACTTGCAGAGAGAGGGACCTTGGGTTTCCAACTAGGTGGGATTATTCAGGTTTGACGAGAAACTTGAGGTCTCACGCTGGGAGCTGAATGAGGGTGAATGAAGTGGGACACGACCCTTCTACCTGATGCCACTCAAGGCCACCTGAAGCCTAAAAGGAGAAGTCTAAACATTCTGCTTCCCTACTTGCAGGAGGCAGGTGCAGGCTGCTTCTGTAGCTCACTGGCTCCAGATCTATCCACAGAGGAAAGACCCACCGGGGACAGCACCAAAATCCCAGCTCCTTAGACAATGGCTAAGGGAATAAAAGGACACATTGGAGCCACATTCCAAGGTATATGCCTTCTGAGAGAAAGAGCCAAGCAAAAAAGATCTGAACATCTTTGAATGCTTGATGCCTTTGCCAAAACGGCCACTGGAGCCCAGTCAACAATGCAAGTGTAAACACATGTGCACGGACCTTCAGGGGACCAGTCAGGCTGGGCCTGGCGGGCCAGGTTAGTGCAGGGAAAATCAAGCCCCAGACAACTGCCCTCAGCTGCTCCCTGCATTCTCTGGGGCCCGGGTGCAAGGGAGGGGCTGTGCTGCTTGCTGCTGTATCTGCTGGTCTAGGCCAAGCCCTGGTGTAGCAGGAACTAGGAATGTGTTAAATGAATGAAAGGTCTGTTTTCCCAAAACTTGAACTCACAAGTGAAATGAAAAAGGAGGCCAGGAGGCAGGGCCAGGGCTCCAGGGCCGGAGCTAAGGTGTGTCACATCAGAGCTGAGGCATAAGGGGCACTCTGAGAGCCCCTTTTCAAGGGATGCTCTCGGGGGACAGCTGCCTTCTCTTCAGTACACTCCAAGATGAAGGAGGGTGAGGGAAGTGAAGGTTCCTCTGCTCAGCATGAAATCTTCCTCAACTGGAAAGGCTTAATGTGGTTACTCCTTCTTGCCCTAACTTTGCAGGGCACCTACCTAGCTGGGGATCTTGGTGTGTGCTTTCCTTTGCACATAAGACTGGGGTAATCCTGTTGCACAGGACCATAGAAAGGAAAGCTTTGAAGTGCTGCTCCCTGCTCCTGGGTTAGGTGGGGAGGTGTGGCTTTTCTCCACATCAGGATGCCCCAGTCAATTTATGGGCCCTGAAGGGCCAGAGGGAACTAGGCAGAAGGCTAGCATGGGGAGGTAGGGGAGCTTTGTTCCTCCGCCTTGGTGCCAATGGTCAGCCCCTGCAGAGAACATGCCATTCCAGCCAAAGCTTTGACAATGGTGGAATGTGCATTAATAACCTGGGCAAAGGAGAGCAGCAGAGCAAAGACACAATGCTTTCTTTGTGGTTGACAATTGAGTGCCCTGAGCCAAAACCCTCCTGAAACTCCCTGAAGATAACATGAGCATTTCTTCCCATGACAGGGGTGCCATGACTTCCAATAACCCGGGCGGCCACATCTGCTCCCCTCCCTGAGAGTGCCTGGGCAAGAATACCAGAGTACGTCACTGCCATCCGGGGGCAGCTGCCAGAGATGCTGAGACAACCACACAGACCAGGCCCGCTCTGGGGGCTGGAGGAGGTAGGGAAAACGCGACTCTGAAGAGGGAGGGTCTTACTACATACTTCAGTGCCCTGGGGAGTTGAGGAGAACGGGCCAAGCAAGCAAGCAAACAACTCTATTCCAGACCCCAACTCGGCTTTGACTCCTTGTGAGAGATCAAAGGCCCAGCCCATGGCCCGGGGAACTGAGCTGCTTGGACAGGCTAAGTCCTCGATGGCTTATGAAGGAGTCAAATCCGCTGGCTTTCTGTAGTGCATCGCACTGAAGGCTGGCTACGGGCCAGACACTGGGCTAAGTGCCTTGCATCTTGCATGCACTGCCTTGTGTCAGACTGAGATGCCAGCCATGCCATCTTCATCTCACACATGAGAACGCTAAAGCTTGGAGAGGCCAAGGAACACGCTCAAGATCAGACACGATGTGACAGAGCCAGGATGGAAACTGAGGCTGCAAATCCAACATGGCTTCTTCCCACTCCCTGGTCTACGTGGGCGAGCTGAGGCTGTGAACCAGAGGACAATCCCACCTCAAGTGAGTTGGACGCAAGGGAAGAGGGAAGCCACATGTATCTGTTTTTCCCCTGGGTCCTTGCTACCTCTCAGGGCAAAGGATTCAAGATTGTTCTGTCTACAAACTCTGGCAAACAAGTTGAAAGTACGTTCTAGCCTTTGCTTTTTTTGGGGAGAACAAAGGCCATTTCGATGAAGGTTAGGGTGTTGGGAGGGTTTTTTGTTTGTCTCTTTGTTTTTGGTAGTGAGGATCGGAATAAAAGACCCTTCTCAAAACCACTTCCCTTTAGGATCTGCCATGGATTAAACTCTAGAGGCTCAAAGCCGCACCTTCCCACTTCCTGTAGCTGGCTGGAGCCGGCATTTGCACGCCCAGATTCTTTGGGCTTCAGCTGGAGGCCTCCACAGATGGTCAGCCCCTGCACGGGAGGCAGTGGAGCCTCTCAGTGACCTGCATCTGCATGAAGCAGAGGAGGACTCTCTTAGCTCAGACCCAGCTCCTTTCAAGTGACTTCACTTTGAATTTCCCAAAGATGGTGCCATTGGTCAGATGTGTGCTGAACTTCCTACCAAAGTAAAGCAGTAGTTTGCCTGTGATCCTGACAGCTGAGCTGAGGAAGGAGAGTCAGTAAGACATGGAGGCCTATCAAGGGTTGGGACAACGGATAAGAGTCTACTGAGTAGACAAGAGTAGAAATTTCTGAAGTTATTGAGAGAGGGGCTCTACAGTTAACAACCAGGTTAAAACCAAGGACTACACTCCGATTGGTGGAAGAGGGGCTGAAAAGGCTACTCCAGACTAGAATTCCCAAACTTCAAAGGTCTTCACAGTGAGAAGCAGCACAAAGCAAGGGAAGGAGTACTCGGACCTGAGTTCTAACTCCATTTCTGCCAGTCCGGCCTTTTCACACTTTAGCAGTCACCACCACTCATCAGGAAAAATCAGGAGGTTGACCAGATGAGTTCTGTGGGCTTCCAGCTAGAATTCAGGTTCTGTGAACTGAGGTTCTCCTCTCCCATTCTGGAGATAAAATAGGGCTCACAGCAGGTAGCAGCCAGTCATCCCCTCTCACTGGTGACTCTGGATCATGGGAGAGGACACATTTGATAGGGCAGACAAAGGGACGAGGGGCACGAAGTTACCTGGTCTTTAGTGGAGGAGATAGCTAAAAATAAAGTCTGGGGGCTGGGGATGTGGCTCAAGCGGTAGCGTGCTCGCCTGGCATACATGCGGCCCGGGTTCGATCCTCAGCACCACATACAAACAAAGATGTTGTGTCCGCCGAAAACTAAAAAATAAATATTAAAATTCTCTCTCTCTCTCAAAATAAATAAATAAATAAATAAATAAATAAATAAATAAATAAAGCCTGGGCTGTATCTTAGGTAGGGAGTCTGTGTTCCAGGATCCTCTTAGGAAAGACTACTCAGAAGCAGAGCCTTTGCCATACCTTTGTAAACCACCAAGAATGGGGAAGATCCCCAATACCCCGGAATAGGAGGCCCCTGCAAGTCCCAGTCTTTAAGAGGTTCTAGATCAACATGACTGGCAATAAGGCCTAGGTGGCTATCTTCTCAGCTCAAGATGTGCGGAGTCAAAGCTTTGGTTCTATGCAGAGGCGATGTAAGATAGAACTGAATCTCAGAGGGAAAGACGAGGCTACTCACTGTTTTGGGTACAATCTGTTTCTTGGGCTGCCCAATCTTGAAAGGAATCCTGGAAGAGACAGAGAGACGAGAATACCTGAGAAATGGGGAAGGATGTGGTTGAAAGAATGGATGCACCATGGGTGCTTCTGCCCCAAGAGGGTAAGGAGTGGCTGAAGCTCACTATCTGACACTGGTACCCCAAGCCCTGGAGGGCACAGGACCATCATACCCAGGGCCTTCTTCTAGAAAACAGATCCTCCTATCCAGTGTCCCATGCAGGCTCTTGGGCACCACCTCCTTCCCCAGCACATGTCTTATGAACGGTCTGTCATTTAAATACACAGCCATATATATATGGCAGGAAAGGGACACAGCCCCAGATAACAATCACTACAAACCTTGTGTCCTGAGGAGCTACAAATGAGAAATCAGAGGCTCACTGTAACAGCTGTCATTCTTGGAGACATGGCTTTTAAAACTCCCCACAAAAATCACTATCATCTATACTAGGTGCTTCATTGCTTCTCTACAGGGGGACAAACTGTGGGTCTGCAGGCTTCTTGGGAAGCTGAGGAAAAATGACAAATTACATGGCCATTAATGAATGGTTGGGCTGGGTTAATCCCCTGGGAAAATGGACAAAATCTAAATGCAGCTAACTCGGAGAAACTGGGATCCAGCCTGAGTCTTCCCAAAACTTGCTAAGAAGCTCTGCACCTCAGAGTACCCACTGTAACCTGGAAGAAGCCTGGCCTAAGGGAAGGAAGGTCACGGGGGTAGGACTTGAGTCGAGGAGCAACTACTTGGTCCACCTCCCTAAGCAGGCTGTCATTTGGCAGCTAACTGCTACACTGAGACTTACTTTCCTCCTCTGTAAAATGAGTGTAGCAAACTAGAAAATTTAGAAGTTTCCTCCAGATACTGAAAATTCTGATTCTATTGAGCCCAAGAAGAGAACTATGGCCAAGTTGGAAAGCCAACACAGTACAACCCAGTAGTGACAGGAACAGAGTGCCACTGCCTCACCTAGTGGCAGGTAGGAAGTGAGGGAATCCCTGGAAGCAGCTGGAAGGGGCCAAAGCTGGCTTCTCCCACGGCTCTCCTAGAAGCTGTGGGGTACAGGTAGAGGCTCTGCATCCGAACCTTCCATTCCATCGGCCCCATCCTACCTTCCACTCACGCCCCCTTGTCCCAGAGCCTGCTTGCATTTAGCCCAAACTGACCAACACTGCTGCTACACCCAACGGTATAATTAACTACCGATAATAACCCCAGACAACAAGCCAGTTGAGGGGATGGGCAGCCTGAGTCACAGAGGTTTAAATTTAATTTCTGGAGGACATCCTGTTTATTGTTAACCCAGCCCCATAATTTGGGAGTGTTAACCCTTTGGGGGCTGACTGGTTCACGTGGCTTCTGTAAACTAATCATCTCAGGCTATGCAACTACCAGAAAGGAAAGGTAAGCTACGGAAGCCAGGGAAGAAAAATCGAAATTGCTGTTTCCCTTTCTTGAACCCAAAGAAAAAAGGTTCAAGGTAAGGTGAGTCTTCTCTGCAGGCCCCTGGTTTCTTTCCCCACAATTCAGGGACTGGAGTTGATGGATGCTGAACAGCTGTCCTCAAGGGCCATTTTGGAGACAGTGCAAATGAGGTCCTGGTGGCCTTGTAAAAAGATGGCTCCTGTTCTGTGGGAGGCCTGCTGCAGTGTACAGAGTTCTAACCAGGAGGCAGAAAACCTGGTCTCTGCCTTACTAGCTTTGTGATTTGAACAAATCACAATCACTCTGGAGTCATTTCTTCAACTATGAAACAAAGGAGTTACAACAGCTGGTCTGTTCCACATATCTAGACAGAATCTCATTCTAGAATGTGGGGAGTGGGATGAGAATCCTGAAGAATCCTTGGAGTCTACACTACCTGCAGACCAGGAACCAAGAAAGTCAGAACTTAGTTTCCATTATTTGTAGTGCCACAGCTTCTCTCTAAATCTTAATTTAGAATCACAGTATTTTTAGAACTGCAAGTCACCATAGAATTTTTTTTTTTTCTGTTCAACCCTCTCATTTTGTAGACAAGGAAGCAGATCCAGAGAAGTTCAATGACTATCCTAGGGTCATTGTGCTGGTTTATAAGAAAACCAGGAAGAAAACCACCAGGGACCCTGACTTCTGGCCATTTTCTCTCTGCCACTCACAGTTCCATACTCTTTTCACATGGATTTCTTAGATGTATTTGATCAAAATGCTTAGTCTTAAAGTACCACGGGATCAGAAGGCGCTCATGGTTCTTTAAGAGACTGGAAATGAAAGAGAAGAGCGCTGTTTGGAACTGGGGCTTTGCACAAAGAGGTGACATGTACCACACAGACTGAGCTGGCTGCTCCTTATATTTCCACTGCAGCTCTGACAATCACATATAATTTTATCAGGCTAGTCTGATTATTTCTTACCTCATAGCCCAAAAGCCATCTATCTGGCAGAACACCTTTATTTTTTAAAAGAAAAATAAACGTAGAAATTTTATATTCAGAAAATTTGTAAAGAAAGTATAATTCCCACCCCTCCCCTCAGTTTCCTCACTTTAACTAGGAGCTGCTCCAGGTTCATCTTGTACATTTCCTGCTCCAGCCCTGGGGTCGGTGGAAGAACTTGCATTAGGTTTCAACATGCCTCTGTATTATGGTCTCAACCTTCCTTTCAGCCTTCTTTCTCAATCACCCAATTCAACTACTCTGACTCAGGCACATGGCCATTTGTTAATCCTTCAGGTTTAGACTCTAAAACTTTCTGTTCCAAATTGGGACTTTTTAAATTTTTTCTAGTACTGAGGACTGAACTCAGGGGTATTCTACCGTTGAGTTATACCTCCAGTTCTTTTTAAAATTTGAGGCAGGGTCTTGCTAAGCTGCTGAGGCAGGCCTTGATCTTGTGATCCTTCTGCCTCAGGCTCCAGAGTTTCTGCAATCGAGGGTATGTGCCACCATACCTGGTCCAGAGAGGGACATTTTTGAGTGGTCATCATCAGGATAGTTTAATTATACAGGGAAACAGGGACATGGCCACACCACCCAAACAGAACACCTTTCCTCCTCCTGACTCACTTCACATTATTCTCAGGTCTACAGTCTTGCTTAAATAGCCTTTTACAGTTTTATCCCTTCAAAGAATAAAACATGCTCATGAGAGAAAACTTGAGGATATAGAAAAAGAGGATGGGTGGGGGGAGGAGAAGAAAAAAACCCAGTCATAATAATCTCATATCTAAAAGATGACCATGGTTAATGTTTTAGTAGTATTCATTATATTTTTTTTACAATTTGCAGAGAGAAAAACTGAGGCAAGTAGACTTTTTGTAAAAATAAATCAACCCCCCCTCCTTTTTTTTTATTACAAAAACAACACCTGATTGGTGTTAAAAACTTGGAAGACATGGAAAAACTGAAAGGACAAAACACAAACATAATCATCCCCACAAAGGAGAAAGTAAGCAGTAATATCCTGAATCTCAGTGTGTACCTGTATTTGTATACATATATACACGTGAATATTTAAATACCTTTTTAAAAGTTAAGGAAACAGGAGTGTTTTGCTACTGATCTAAGTTCTACTTTTACCAAAGTTACACATATGCATAGTTTAGTAAGGCAACAAAGTTTAAGTTAACACATTAGTCCCTAGGCCCCCTTAACCTCATTTGCCTGAGACAGCCATTTCAACTCAGTTGTTTTATTTGCTTTTGGCATTCACATTTGCATCTCTATACAGAAATGCTCATATTCCTTCCTCTTGATCACTATGGCTTTTATTTTTTATTTTTTTTTTGGTACCAGGGATTGAACCCATGGTGCTTAACCACTGAACTGTATCCCCAAGCCTTTTTATATTTTATTTAGAGACAGGGTCTCACTAAGTTGCTGAGGCTAGCTTTGAACTTTCGATCCTCCTGCCTCAGCATCCTGAGCTGCTGGGATTACAGGTGTGCACCACTGCGCCTGGCTTGATCACTATGCTTTAAGCACTGGGTACTTACTGTGGAAGACAGGGTTTGACCAAACAGAAACAGTTTTGGATGCTACCTCCACTCTCTTTCCATAGTTATATCCTGACTTAACAATTATGAGGATATCGTGCTGTTTTTCACACCAAGTGTGAGAGCCAATGGGTTGCTCAGGGCAGTCAAACAGGAAGCCTGCAGTGCTAGCCCATGTATACAACAACCTCCTTAGGGTTTCCCAGCCAACCCCCCATCTAAGTCACTTCTAATTCCCAACCAACAGAAACTATTGTTATTTTGAGCCATAGAGTCGTGGGATCATTTGTCATGAAGCAGTACGTAACTAACAACACTGCATATTTTTTACTTTTCTTGTCTATGGACTTATCCCTGATTCAATCTGTTGTCTGACTCCACTCCTGGTATATTTATTCTTTTCAGTTGCTCCCATGGTCATCTTGAAGCTTCTCCACTGGAGCCTCAGCCCTGCCCATCAGGACTGTCTGCAGGACTGTCTGCCCTTGGTCCCTGCTGTGTAGCTCTCATGCCTGGCTCTCCCTTCATGATGATGATCCTTACTGGGATGCCTTTGACCTTTTTCTCATTAGCCCATCTCCCATCTTCTCTTTCTTGATTTACTCCTCATTTTGGTGGAAAAAAAGGGTATGAAAGATAATTTTTTTTCAGACTTTGCATAAAATTCTTTTTTTCTACCACCAGGATAGTTTGACTGGGTATAGAATTATAGGCTGGACATAATTTCTTTTAGGATTTCAAAGGCACTGCTTCATAGTCTTCTGGTGCTGTTGTGAAATCTGAAGCCACTCTGATTTCTGTCCTTTGTGTGTGGCCTATTTTTTATTTTCTTTATATGAGTTTATAGGATTGTGTTCATCCTGAAGTTGTATAATCTTATAATGATGTATCTGTTTTATCCATTGTACTAAGTAGGAGAGTTATAATTTTGCAATTTATAATCTTTAGTTCTAGGATTAAAAAAAAAATTATTGCTGGGCAGAATGGTGCACACCTGTAATCCCAGCAACTTGGGAGGCCGAGGCA